CCTTCTAAACCCAGCCTGGACTTCTGGCAGTTCTCTGCTGATGTGCTGTTCCAGTCGTTTTTGGATAATCTTCAGTAGAATCTTGCATGTGAAATCAATGATATTCTGTAGTTTAAGCACTCATTTGGGTCACCCTTCTTTGGAATGGGAACAAACACAGATTTCTTCCAGTCAGTTGGCCAAGTGGTTGTTCTCCAGATTTCTAGGCACAACTTGGTGAGCATGTGCAGGGCAGCATCTGTTAGCTGGAATATGTCAATTGGTATATCATCTATTCCTGGGGCCTTATTTTTTGCTATTTCCTTCAAAGCAGCTGAACTTCTTCCTTCATCACCATAGGCTCTTGCAGGTATGTTGTTTCATGAAATTCTTCTGTGTCTGCCAATTCCTTTCAATACGGTGACTCTATATTCTTTCCATCTTTTTTCACTACTTCCTGGATCATTTAATATTCTGCCTAAAGCATCTTTGATTATAGCAACTCGAGGTTTGAATTTGTTCTTCAGTTCCTTGAGCTTAAGAAATGCTGAGCAAGTTCGGCCCTTTTGATTTTCTGACTCCAACTCCTTGCACATTTCTTTGTAATATTTTTCTTTGTCATCCTGCACAGCCTTTTGAAATCTTCTATTCAGCTTTTTTAGTATCTTTAATTCTTCCTTGTGCTTTGGCTTCTCTGTGCTCCAGTGCAATATTCAGTCTCTTCTGACATCCATTTTGGTCTCTTCTTCCTCTTCTGTCTTTGCAATGACCATTTGCATTCTTCCTGGATGATACCCTTGATATCCTCCCACAACTCGCCTGGTCTTCGCTCATTAGTGTTCAAGGCCTCAAACCTGTTCCTGAAGTGGTTCTGAAATTTAGGTGGGATAGACTCAAAGTCATATTTTGATTCCCGTGGATTTGGTTTCAGTTTCCTCAGCTTCAGCTTGAACTTTTATATGAGTAGTTAGTGGTCTATTCCACAATCAGCTCCTGGCCTAGTTTTTACAGCTGATATTGAGCTTCTCCAGCAGTTCTTACCACAGCTGTAACCGATCTGATGCCTATACATGTCATCAGGTGAAATCCATGTATATAACCTGCACTTACGTCTCTTAAAAAACGTATTTGCAATGAGTAAGTCATTGATTGTGCAAAATTCAATCATTCTTTCTCCAGCTCCATTTCTGTCACTGAGTCCATGTTTTCCAATTACCGAATCTTCTCCCTTGTTCTCAATTTTTGCATCCCAGTCTCCCATTATTATCAATGCATCTTAATTGCATGTTCGCTAGATCTCTGTAAAAGTTGGTAGAAATCTTCTATTTCCTCTTTCTTGGCTCTGGTTGTTGATGCATATATTTGAATGATAGTGATATTTACTGGGCTTCCTTGTATGTGTATGGATATTATCCTGTCACTCACAATATTGTACTTCAAGATGAATCTATAAATTACTATCTTTACTATGAAAGCAACTCCATTTTTCCTCACCTTTTCATCTCCGGAGTAATATATCATATGATCATCCGACTCAAAATACCCCATGCCAGTCCATCTCATCTCACCAATGCATTTGGAACATGTGTTATTGAGAATCTCTTTAAAGTGCTTAAGAGCAAGGATATCCATATGTTTTATCCAAGCTACAGTGTTTTCAAAGGAAGACCAAAGAATTGATGTCTTTGAATTGTGGTGTCAGCAAGGAACATTGAATATACCAGGACTGTACAAAGAATAGAGTTCTGTACATTCCATCATGATACTTACAGAAAGTGCATCCAGGATGCTCCTTGGAGGCAAGAGCAGTTAGACTTTGTCTTATGTACTTTGGACATGTTGTCAGGAGTCATCAATATTTGGAAAAAGACATGATCATTGGGAAAGTAGAAGATCTGAGAAAAAGACATAGACCCTCAACAAAATGGAATTGAAAGGAATTCTGCCTTTAGGAAGAAGTGAAAGATGAGAC